TCTCAATAAAAAAGGCTGAAAGACACTTAAGAAAGTACTCAACATCTTAGAAATCAAAAAGGCTGAAAGACACTTCAGTGCTCAACATCCTTAGCTATCAGGGAAATGCAAATCAAAACAACTTTGAGATACCATCTTACTCCTGCCAGAATGGCTAAAATTAGAAACACCAATGACAACTTATGCTGGAGAGGATGTGGAGAAAGGGGAACACTCCTTCACTGCTGGTGAGAGTGCAAACTTGTACACCCATTTTGGAGATCAGTATGGCAGTTCCTCAGGAAAATGGGAATTAGTTTACCACAGGACCCGGCAATCCCCCTCTTAGGCATATACCCAAATGATCCACATCCATGCAACAAAGACATGTGTTCAACTCTGTTTGTAGCAGCATTATTTGTAATAGCAAGAACCTGGAAGCAACCTAGATGCCCCTCAACTGAAGAATGGATAAAGATGATGTGGCACATTTACACAATAGAATGCTATTCTGCAGGGGGAGGGGGGAATCTTGAAATTTGCAGGCAAATAGATGGAACTTGAAGAAACCATCCTGAATGAGGTAAACCAGTCACAAAAAGAGGAACATGGTATGTATTCATTCATGTATGGATTTTAGACATAGCAAAGTATCACCAGCCTATAATTCACACTGCCAGAGAAACTAGAATACAAGGAGGAATCTAAGAGTTTCATACAAGGTCCCTCATGGAAGGTGAAAGGAACAAGATGATCTGAGCATATTGGGAGTGGGGGAGCAGCGAGTGGAGAGGGAGCTAGGAGAAAGAGAAGGGGAGGAGAAGAAAGCACGTGGGACTAGGAAGATTGAGTCAGGAAAGGCATACACAAGAGAAAAAAAAGAGAAGAGAGAGATATATACCATAAAAGAGGGAGCCACTATAGGTTTGAAGAGCAAACTGACTCTAGAGAACTGTCCAGAGACCTACAAGACTGGCCCCATCTAACAATTTGAGCAACAGTGCAAAGGCCACCATAAATGCCCTTCCCTGATAGTGAGATTGATGACCAACTTATATCTACCATCATAGAGCCCTCATCTAGTAGCTGGTGGAAGCAGAGGCAGACACCCACAGCTAAACACTGACCTGAACTGGAATCCAGATGCAGAGAGGGAGGAGTGATAAAATGGGGACAAGACCAGGCTACAGAAACCCACAGAGACAGCTGACCTGAACAAGGAGGAGCTAAGGGGCCCCCAGACTGATAGCTGGGAAACCAGCATTGAACCAAATCAGACCCCCTGAATGTGGGTCTCAGTTTGAAGGCCTGGGCAGTCTAAGGGACCTCTGACAGTGGAACCAGGATGTATCTCTGGTGCACAAAAGGACTTTGGGAGCAGGTTCCCCATGGAGGGATACTCCTTTAACCTAGAGGCAGGAGGGAGGGCCTAGACCCTACTCCAAATGACTTGACAGATTTTGTTGACCCCCCCTCCTGGAGAGCATCACCCTACCTGTGGAGTGGGAGGAGGATGGGATGGGAGGGTGGTCAGAGGGCATGGGACAGTGGGAGAGAGGGAGGAAGGGAGGGAGGGAGAAGAAACTGTGATCGATATGTAAAATAAAAAAATTTAAACTTTCAGGTTTTTTTCATTTAGGTTAAATGGTTGGGATGCATGCAAGTCTGTAGGGCTTTTTCTTGATTAATGACTGATGTGAGAGTCCAGAACACTTGAGAGTGATGGTCCTAGGTGGTATAAGAAATCAGGCTGAGCAAGAAAGCCAATAAGCAGCACTCTTCCATTCTCCCTGTTCTAGTTCCTCCCTTGAGTTCTTTCCTTTACTTGCTCTCAGTGATGGACAGTTTCCTGGAAATGTAAGATGAAATAAACCCTTTCTCACTGAAAGTGCTTTTGGTCACGGTGTTTGTCACAGTAATAGAAGCCCTAACTAGGACAGGATCTTGATATTCCCTCCTGCACCCGATAAAATAGAGAAAGAGGGTGAAAAGGTAATTAAGCAGAGTACTCCGTCTAGGTAGCTATGGTGAAGTTATCATTCATGTTGGAATGAGACTTTTCGGTAGTGAGGCTGTTTGAAGGGGTAAAGCTCCAGAACTCACTGGGATTTCTTTGTGTTGGTCTGTTATCGGTGCTCTAGCTGGGGTAAGTAGGGTCATGTTTATGTCTCCCCAAGAAAAGTTGATGCAACACACATAAAACATCAGCAGGACAAGCTTTGACTTTGACTGACCTTGAAGGGATAGGGAAGCTTCATAAAGAGCAGCTAATAGAAGTCTAAGTTTCTTTTTTCTCAGTTTTCATTTTCCCTAGAGTTCTGTTATTGTATCTCTGACTACTGATATAATATGCAATAGGTCAATTAATCTTGTACTTATTGGGCATCTAATATGTTCAGAGCACTGCTTTAGATACTGCTCATGCAGAGGTGAGCAAGTCAGACATTATTTCTGCCCTCCTCTCACATAGCCTATCAGAGAAGATAGATCGAGAACAAGTATTACAGGCAGTACCTCTAACATACATTTTTAAATACTTCATTTCTCATCCTAGGAGAATGTGTTCCCTTTCTATTTTAATATCTTTCTTTTCCTGTAGGGTTTTTATTTCAGATTTTTAAATATTATATTTTATTTAGTTCAGAGAGAAAGAGCCCATATGTTGAGATCATGGGACTACTTTTGGGAATCATTTCTGTCCTATCATGTGGGCCTTCATAGCTGAACTTAGGTCATCTGGCTTGGCAGCATGTACCTTTATATCTTGTTGGCTCTAGTTCAGATTTTTAAAAATTGGTTATACCATAACTTCCATTCTTCTAAGTTGAATGAAGGACTAAAATTTCATGAAAATGAAGTAGATATTGATTGTTTAATGATATTTTGTGGTGATATATTGTTTCATGATCTAATAAAGCCACTGAAGATCAGAAAAGCAAAGCAGTCAAGCCACCAGAGAGCTCTTATCTCTACCAAGGCTGGAAGGGGGATCCTGTCCTCAATGTGACTGAATCCGAGACCCTGCTCCTATCTTACATACCTCTCTGGGATTAGAGGTTTGAGTTCTGTTTCTCTTTTAGACTGATTCACTCTCATGTATCCCTGGGTAGCCCTGAACTCACAGAGATCAATCTGCCTCTGTCTTCTGAGTTCTGAGATTAAAGGTGTGTGCCATCACTGCCCAGCTTCTATGGCTAACTAGTGTGGATGGCTTTGCATTCTGATTTTTGGTGGCTTTATTATATCACAAACAATATCTTATCACAAAAAACAATCATTAATAGATGTGTTGTAAGAATGCCTGTGGTTCATATACCCAAATGACCCACATCCATGCAACAAAGACATCTGTTCAACTATGTTCATAGCAGCACTATTAGTAATAGCAAGAACCTGGAAGCAACCTAGATGCCCCTCAATTGAAGAATGGATAATGAAGATGTGGCAAATCTACACAATGGAATACTACTCTGCAGAAAAAAATAATGGTATCTTGAAATTCACAGGCAAGTGGATGGCACTTGAAGAAATCATCCTGAATGAGGTAACCCAGTCACAAAAAGAGGAACATAGTACGTACTCACTCATATATGGATTTTAGACATAGAGCAAAGGATCACCAGCCTATAATTCACACCACCAGAGGAACTAGGATACAAGGTGTATTCTAAGAGATTCATATAAAGTCCCTCACAGAACCGGGAAGGGACAAGTCCCCCAGAGCACAGGGGAAGTGGGGGGGCAGCGAATGGAGAGAGAAGTAGGAGAAAATGAGGGGGAGGAAAGGAAAACATGTGCGACTAGGAAGATTGAGCCCAGTTAGGAATAGAAGACAAGAGAGAGAGAGAGAGAGAGAGAGAGAGAGAGAGAGAGAGAGAGAGAGAGAGAGAACATAAAAGAGGGAGCCAATATTGGTTTGAAGATAAAATTGAACACAAAGAAAGGTCTAGAGAACTACAAGACTGCTGCCAACTAAATATTTGAACATCCGTGGAAAGGCTACCATAAATGCCCTTCCCGGATAGTGAGATCAACAACTAACTTATCCATGGAGCCCTCATCTAATACGTGTTGGAAACAGGAGCAAACACCCATACATAAACGCTGAGTTGAACTAGAACCCAGATGCAGATGGAGAGGACAAGACCAGGCTGCAGAAACACATAGAGACAGCTGACCTGAACAAGGAGGAGCTAACGGGCCCCCAGACTGATAGCTGGGAAGTCAGCATGGGACTGACTCAGGCCCCCCCCCCCCGAATATGGGTCTCAGCCAGAAGGACTGAGCAGTCTAAGGGACCTCAGACAGTGGAGCCAGGATGTATCCCTGGTGCACAAAAGGACCTTGCTAACACATCCCCCATGGAGGGATAACTGCCTTAACATAGAGACAGGAGAGAAGCCCTAGTCCCTACTTCACATGACCTGTCAGATCTACATGACCCCAACTGGATGGCATTCCCCTACATATGGAATTGGGGTGGGGGGATGGGAGGGGAGGGTGGTTAGGGTGCATGTGAGAGGGCAGAGAGGGTAAAAGGGAGGGAGGGAGAGGGAACTGGGATCGATATTTAAAATAATAAACAAAAAAAAATGCCTGTGGCTTTTATGTAAACACAGGTTTTCATTTCTCTCCTAGATACCTAGAGATAAAATTGTTAGGTCACAAGGTAAATGTACTCCTTCTATATACTTTAGTTTTGTTGCTATAGCTATTATTTCAAGCACTATATTGAACAGATATAGAGAGAGTGACTATTTTCCCCTTGTTTAGTGGAAATGCTGAGTTTTTCCTCTGTTGAGCATGATGCTGGCTTGTGGCCTTGTTGTATTACTGTCTTTGTTATAGTGAGGCATATTCCCTGCATCTCTAGTCTTCAAGAGTATATTATGAAGGGTTAGATTTTTTTTCAAAGGTCTTTTCTACATCTAGAGAGATTACTATGTCATGTGAATTAAGAAACTCATCCTGGTCTCATCAGTTAAGATGGTTCATCAGTTAAGAGTACTTGTTGCTGGCTTCGGGTGCCGCTGGATACCGTTCAGACATGGCCAAGTCCAAGAACCACACCACACACAACCAGTCCCGGAAATGGCACAGAAATGGCATCAAGAAACCCCGATCGCAAAGATACGAATCTCTTAAGGGGGTTGACCCCAAGTTCCTGAGGAACATGCGCTTTGCCAAGAAACACAACAAGAAAGGCCTGAAGAAGATGCAGGCAAACAACGCCAAGGCAGTGAGTGCACGCGCAGAGGCCATCAAGGCTCTTGTGAAGCCCAAGGTGGTAAAACCCAAGATGCCAAAGGGTCCTGGCTGCAAACTCAGCCATCTGGCTTTCATCGCTCACCCCAAGCTTGGGAAGAAGATTAGAAAGTACATGGCCAAGGATCATAGGCTCTGCCAACCAAAGCCCAAGGTTCAAACCAAGGCAGAGGCCTCGGCTCCATCAAAGGCCCAGGCTGCAGCTCCAGCTCAGGCTCCCAAAGGCGCCAAGGCCCCGTAGAAATGGTTTCTGCCACTGTGAAGACAGATGGACTGGTGTGACACATCTACACACTATCTGCAGATGACCTGTGCCCTATGCTGTTTTTACAAATAAACTTGAGGCAAGATCTGTTAAAAAAAAAAAAAAAAAAAAAAAAAAAAAAGAGTACTTGTTGCTTTTGCAGAAGACCTAGGTTGAATTCCCAGCCCCCACATGACAACTGAAAACCATCTGTAACTTCAGATTGAGAGGATCCAACACCCTCTCCTGGTCTCCTCAGGCACTAGTACACACGATACTCATATATATATATGAAGGCAAACACTCATACACATACAATAAAAAATACTTTCTAAAAAATGAAATGCATCCATTTTTTAAAGTTTTCTAATTTGTTAGAATATAGACTGACTTTTGAAGTATTTTCCTACAGTCCTCTTGATTTCACTGGTATCTGTTGTAATGACTCTTTTATCTCTAATTTTATACATTTTCATTTTCTCTTTCTTTGGGTTAATCTGGTAAAAGTTTGTCAGCCATATTAATCTCTTCAAAGACTTAACTCCATTTTCTTGACTCTTCTCTTTTTAACTTCTATGTCATAAATGTCTGGACAGATCTTGATGAATGGTCTCTGTCTACTTTTGAGTATTCTTTGAAAGTTCTTGTTTTTCCAAAGTTGTAAGACATTTGGGTTCTCTCTGATGTTCTGATGTAGGCACTAAGAGCTATTATCTTTCCTCTTAGGACTGCCTTCATTGTATCCCATAGAGTTTTACATGTTTGTACTTTAATTCTCTTTCATTTCTAGACATTTCTAAGTTTTCTTCTTTTTCACTCCTTTGGTGATTCACTCATCTTTCAATACTGTACTATTCAATCTCCATAAGCAGTGCCATGTGTATTTTCTGTATTTTTTATTGCTGTTGATAACCTAACTTTATTCTATTGTGACCAAATAAAATACAAGGAGTTATTTTAATTTTCCTGTATTTATTGAGACATGGTTTGTGTTGCAATATGTGATCTATTTTAGTGAAAGGTGTATGGGCTTCTGAGGAGAATATGTACTCTCCAGTGTTGAAGCATAATTTTCTGTTCACAGGTTCATTGATATAGGATGTCATCTAGATTTATTATTTCTCCGTATTTTTCATCTGTACAATACGTCCATTGGTGAAAGTGGGATGTTGAATTCACCTACTGTTGTATTGGTGTTGATCTGTTGCTTTGTGTCTAGTAGCATTTACTTTGTAAATTTGGGTGTACATAAGTTTGGCACATTCGTGTTTAAGATTGTAATGTCCACTTGGTGGATTGTTCTCTTGACCAATATGATTGACTTTTATCTCTTCTGATTAATTTTGATTTGAAGTCTATTTGGTTGGATATTAAAATAGTCATTTCAAGCCTGGTGTTGGTGGCACATGGCTTTAATCCCAACACTCAGGAGGCAGAGGCAGGTGGATCTCTGTGAGTTTGGGGCCAGCCTGGTCTACAGAGCTAGTTCCAGAACAGGTTTCCAAAGCAATACAGAGAAACCCTGTCTTGAAAAACCAATAATAATAATTATGATGATGATAATTATTATTATAAATAAAATATCCATTCCTGTTTGTTTCTTGTTTCCATTCAGTCAGAATACCTTTTCCCATCTTTCATAATATGTTAGTTTCTCTTGGGTGGTGGTTTCATAGAAGCAGCAAAATGATAGATCATGGTTTTTAAATTCAGTCTGCTAATCTTTGTCCTTTGTTGGGCAGAGAAGGTCATTGATGTTCAAAGTTAATGTTGAAGAGGTGCATTGATTCCTGTCATTTTGTTGATTTCATGTTGCTTATTTTCTTAGTCCTTTTTGTTTAATTGCTGACTCAACATTGTTCCTTTGTTCTTTTACTGTCTTTTGGGTATGTTTGTCCTTTTCTTCAAGTCTGAAGTGTTCCTCCTCTGTAGGGCTGACTTGATGATCATAAATTCCAGCAGCTTTTATTGTAGAAACCTTTTCTTTTTCCTTGGATTATTACAGATCATTTTCTAGGTGTAGTAGTCTAGGCTAGCTCTACAGGCTTTAAGAACATATAGTATATCGGTTCAAGCCTTTTTGGTTTTAAACAAATGAACTGTTATTCTAATAGTTCTGCCTTTTTCTTCTGTGATTGTGTTGCAAACATTTTCTGTATCTTTATGTGGGTTTCTTCTAGTTTTTACTGGCTTGTGATTCTTGGCTTTGGTCCTTTTATAGTGTCCCAAAATTCCGTTCATTTTGTAAAGTTATCATTTTTTTGATTGAGTGGTCCAGTTTATCTTTTCTATGTATGTTAATATTCCTCTTTCTATGTGGTCTGGTCTATTGAAAATCCTTTTCAACATGCTTTTTACTTGACTTCCTAAACCTTTAAAGTTTTATGTTTGTTTGAATCTTCTTCAAAATTTTTCTTTATGCAAGTCTGTTCTCATATTCTGAATTGTTTATTTTTTATTCAACTATTTGCTTGTGTTTGGGGCATCGTTCTGGTATTTATTCATATTGTTTTAATTCCTTGAACATATTTATTATTTCTATTTCGAGTCTATTGTCTCATGTGTCATTTAACTTGCTTTCCCCAGGGAAAATTACTATGGAATCCTGAATCTTGGAGGAGGTATTGTCTTGGTTATTCATGTTGTTTTTATTTTTGTTGTGGGATCTGGGTATCTAGATGCAGGCCATTGCTGTTCAGAATCTCATAGTAGTATACAGAACACTTCCAATACACAGTTGCCAATTCTTCCTAGTGAATAAATAGCTACTTTGGCCAGGAAGTTGTGTCGCACACCTTTAATCCCAGCATTTGGGAAGCAGAGACAGAGAACAGGCCAGCCTGTTCTACAGAAAGAGTACCAGCCAGTGTTCCTCACCATGATGAGCTCTGCCATGCCTTCCTCCCCACTCTGAGCTCAGCTGTACCTTCCTCACCGTAATGGTCATAGGAAATAAGATTCACTGGGACACAGTATAGGTTGAATGACGTTTAATACCAGGAGAAATCCGCTGCCTCCCAGATGCTCTCCACAACCCGACCAGAAAGTAAGAGAGAGAGCTGGGGTCTGGACCACAGATCTAGCCTCCCCACTGTCCTCCCCCCTTCAAGTCCGCACCTGTGCCCACGCCCCAGTGAGCGTGGTCAGTGCAACAGGTGCAGACTGGGTGGATATCTCACTACAAATGGGCTCAGCTGTGGCTTCTTCACAACAAAACTAAAGCTTCTGAAACCATGAACGAAAATCATTTTCCTCCCTAAACTTGTTTTGTCAGCCATGTGGTCACAGCAAGGCTACCAATATGGTAGCCAAATTACCACTTGGGCTTCTGTCTTCAAAGAACACTTGTGATCAAGTCTGCCAGGGTCATCCAGGATAGTCTCCCCATCTCTAAAACCCTAATCTAATTCTGCCTGTGGTCATTTAGTCATATAAGGCAATATTCATTGGTCCTGGGGATTAGGACTTGACTGGCTCTGGGAGAAGAGTATTATTAACCTACCTCATGATCTAACAAGGGTTTGAGAACCCTGATGAGATGGGATGCCAAACATATTCATTACAGCTTGAAAAATGTCCTTTATAATCTGTATTTTTAAAAATCTTATCTTTTGCCATTTAAAATATTAATATTGGTACATCAAATATTTATATAAATTAATTCAGAAGGTTCCAAAAATGAATTCAAAGGAACAAATCCAATTTATCATCTATCAGTTCTTTTCACACACAGCCTTATGAATAATCACTTGATTTTGAAACATGAGTTTAAAAATTTAACTGTTTTGGCACAGGACAAAGCTTTAATTTAGAGTCATGGCCTCTAACTATCACTAACCTTACTGAAATAAAAATTTCAAATACCTTAATAACTTACAGATACAATTTGTAACTTATATACAGAATATACATAAACTTCTGCATTGACTGTCTGAATTTCCATATGAAGTTGTCATTTTAGAAAAATTTAATAGATTAGACAGGAATAAATTTAAGCCTGAATTCAGAAACAAGGAATGAATTAACTAAGCCTGAATTGAGGAACAGCCAATGTCAGGCTTAATAGATGGAGTAAACTGACTGACATTTGCAACAATTCAGCATTAACTTGGATTTATATAAAATCATTAATTGGATATCTGCCATAAATTCTTGAAAATTCTTATAGGCAATGATAACTGGCTCTGTTGCTATTTTTTGCTGTGTTGTTTTGTTTCTTTGTTTTTGAGAGAATGCCTTGCCAATCTAGTAGAACCATTGAGTAGGAAAAGGATTGAGGGATCATCATTCTTGTCTTCAGTGTGGGTTATCATGCTTTCACTTGGTGTTATCAGATAACAAGTATGTTATGTTTTACTTTTGACAATAATGTGTAGCTTTTCTTCATAGAAGTGTCTTTTATGGCTTGACCTGTTAATGAATTACTTTTTCAGTATTTATCTTAATAATTAGTTTCAGTATATGAACTATGTATTAAATAAATGTTGAAGGACTAAACCTAATCTCATTGTAATTATATAAATATCTTTTGTTATAAATTTCTTTTTTTTCTTTCTTTTTTTTATTTATTTTTTTAATTTAATTTTATATAACAAAGTCCAATTAAATGAAAACAAACATTTATACACAGTATTTGGGAATTTGGGCGTCATTCTTTCCAAACTACTTCCTGCTGGTAAGGGGCGCTGTCTTGGGGGATTCGAAGAAGATTCAGATATCCTAGCTGTAGTCTGTAGGGCTGTTTTGTCCAGCTGTTTGGAATGTAGGATCAGCTTGTACTCTGTTTCAGGCGGTCTGGTGTGATCAAACCACATTAGTCTGGAAGGAATCCACATCTTTTCATTTTCTGTGGAAACAAAAATAGAAATACTTTTCCCCAGTTTGTTATAAATTTCTTATACATACTAGTTACTACTTGTTTCAGTTCCAAAGGTTGATAATTATAGCAAATAATTTGTTGTTTCTTGAGATAAGGTTTCTCTGTGGAGCCATCCTGGCTGTCCTGGAACTAACTCTGTAGACCAAATTGGCCTCGAACTCACAGATATCTTTCTGCCTCTGCTTCCCGAGTGCTGGGATTAAAGGTGAGTGCCACCACATCTGACTGCAAATTTCTTTAA